GGTGGTCAGTGTCGTGGTTCCACTTGAGTGGGCAGCCAAGCTCTACCACAGCCGCTCTCTCACTTCCCCTCCTCAAAGAGGAATGGGGAGAAAATATGTGAAAAGGGCTCAAAGGTTGAGACAAGGATGAGAAAATCACTCAGTAATTATTGTAATAGTCAAAACAGACTCGGCATAAGGAGATAGTAAGATTTATTGCCTATTACTAACAAGCGAGAGAAGTGAGAAACAAAGGAAAAAAAAAACAAAAGCACCTTCCCCCCCATCCACCCTCTTCCACCTCCTCCCCCCGAGCGGCACAGGGGAACGGGGGAATGGGGGTTATGGTCAGTCTACAGTGCTTCTTCTCTGCCGCTCCTTCTCGGTCACTCTCGTCCCCTGTGCTGTGGGGTCCCACCCACGGGATACAGTCCTTGATGAACTGATCCGGCGTGGGCTTCCCACAGGCAGCAGCTCTTCCAGAGCTGCTCCAGATATGGGTCCGTACCACGGGGTCCATCCCTCAGGAGAAAACTGCTCCAACTTGGCTTCCCCACGGGCAGCAGCTCCTGCCAGGTCACCTGCTCCTGCATGGGCTCCTCTCCACGGGCTACAGGTCCAGCCCGGAATCTGCTCCGGCAGGGGTCTTCCACAGGCGGCAGATCTCCATTGGTGCAGGGCCACCTGCTCCACCGTGGTCTCCTCCACGGCCTGCAGCGTGGACCCCTGCTCCACCGTGGTACTCCATGGGCTGCAGGGGGACATCCTGCTTCACCATGGTCCTCACCACAGGCCGCAGGGGACTTCTGCTCCAGCACCTAGAGCACCTCTCCCCCTCCTTCTACACTGACCTTGATGCCTGCAAGGCAGTTCCTCACTCCCTTCACTCTCCCAGCTGCTGTGTGGTGCAGCATTTTTTTCCCTGTCTTACATATGCTCTCACAGAGGCACAAAACAACATCGCTTATTGGCTCAGCTCTGGAAAACAATGGGGCCCTTCCCAAACATGGGGCAGCTTCTAGATCTTTCTCACAGAAACCACCCCTATGGCCCCCTGCTACCAAAACCTTGCCACATAAACCCACTACAAAGGAAAATACATTTTCCCTCATAAAACTGTTCATGTGGCATATTCCTCATCAGCTTTGACTCAAATTACCTAGTAAGATATTTTTTCATTGAAACAAGTAAGGAAATTATTGATTATAATGGATTTGTTATAATTTGTCAGCTTCTTTATTTCCATTACCTTACATGCTTACCTTAGAACACAACTGTATTTTTCACTACATAATAGTATGTATTTGTATTACAGTAGTGTTTACATGCTTCAAAGTAAACTGGAGCTGCATTGTCTTGAACATTTTAATGCTGTATAAAAAGGACTGTTTTTGGCAATCTATGCTTTAAACAGCAAAGGCAAAAGATGGGCAGAAAAGTGGGCACAATTACCGCAGAGTATCTGATAGTAGAGGGTAGAGAAATCAGATCAGAAAAGAAATGTAGTCTTACACAGACTACACTCTGCTATTTGTAATGCTATTTCTTAGCACGGAGAACATGCACTACCACTATTCCTACCTGCTAATTCCTAGCTTCAGGTGCTGAAGTGCATGCACATAGTTAAATTCATCCTTCCCAACATTGTTTCCAACACAGAAACTTTTGCTTTTTTTGGAAAGAACTTCAATTAGAAGGAACAGAAAATAATACATATAAAAAAAATCCACTCTGTCAGAGTCAGAGGTGAGGCTCGTATTGACACGAACAGAGATAGTTGGATCAACACTCAGTGTGTTTGAAAAAACTCACTTTTCAGATGGTGTGTCAACAAAGGAAAATTTTGCTTCTAAGCTGCTAAACAATGAATCACAAAACCAACAATAACAAAAAAAAGATACAAAAAACATTCTAATCAAAAACAAAAGGCATTTTATGAAAAAGTTGAGTAGATTTGTTTAAAAGAAAGTTTTTAATTTCTGTAATTGTGCTCTGAAACATGTTTTTACTTCTGTTGATATGCGTCTTCATTTATGTGCAGCTGAGTGTCACTGTGCTGACCTGTGTTGAGAGATGATAAGGAAGCAATTGATACAACCCACTCCAGGCTTCTGCTATCCGTCTTTCCTATAGAACTCCAGCAGGAAAACCTCTGAAGTTTTCAAATACAGTAACTAAAATGGAGACCTACCATTCAGTTCTCATTGACTAAGGTGAAGTAGATTCAATATATCGATATATCAACAGAAGGTTATTGTGTTGTCAGGAGTGCAATGGTTAACATTCTCATAAGTTCCCAAATTGTATATTACTTTAAAGAAGGTTAAAATGTACTTGTTGTGACACCCCAACTACCTAATTACTATACTAACTAACTAACTATATATATACTAACCTAATGGTTAATGATAGCCTGAGCAAGATGAGTTTTGGTGAGCACTTTTTTATGTCTACTCTGGAACCCAGGAACAAGTTTTTTAGTTGAAACCTAACCCTTTTGACTTATTGTTGGTACTGCTTTGTAGAAGTTTGAGTAATAACTGCAGTATTTGAACATCTGTAGCAGTCCTGTGTTACAGAGAACAGTTAACCGATAATTGTATTATCTTCTCCAGTCTTTTCACTTGATACAGCACAGAAGACATATGCAGAAACATCTCTATTATAATGAAAAAAAACAAAACAAAACAAAACAAAAAAAACAGATAGAGAAAAGAGAGCAAGGGAAATAGCCAAATATTTATGGCTTGATTTTTATTAAAAGTATTTATGGATCTTGACTGTTTTCTTGATATGAGAAGGTTACTGTGTTAAGTAAATAAGGATTTATGAAAAGCAATGATGAAATAATACTGAAAATAGCTCATTCAGTTAATCAGGATCTGGGCAGTGTTATTCCTGGTAGAAATTGTTTTGTGATGTTTAGATTGTTTTCCTAGTCACAAATATATCTTCGCCTTTATTCCTACAAATGAGAAAATCTAACAGAGTAAAAATTGAATTTTTGAGTAAATTTTCACAGAATCACAGAATTGTCTAGGTTGGAAGAGACCTCAAGATCATCGAGTCCAACCTCTGACCTAACACTAACAAGTCCTCCACTAAACCATATCACTAAGTTCAACATCTAAACGTCTTTTAAAGACCTCCAGGGATGGTGACTCCACCACTTCCCTGGGCAGCCCATTCCAATGCGTAACAACCCTCTCAGTAAAGAAGTTCTTCCTAACATCTAACCTAAAACACCCCTGGTGCAGCTTTAGCACGTTGCCCCTCATCCTGTCACCGGGCACGTGGCAGAATAGACCAACCCCCACCTCTCTACAGCCTCCTTTAAGGTACTTATAAAGAGCAATAAGGTGGCCCCTGAGCTTCCTTGTCTCCAGGCTGAAAAAAAACAGCTCCCTCAGACGCTCCTCATAGGACTTGTTCTCTAGACCCCTCACCAGCTTCGTCGCCCTTCTCTGGACTCTTTTGAGCACCTCCGTGTCCTTCTTGTAGTGAGGGGCCCAAATCTGAGCACACTACTTGAGGTGTGGCCTCCCCAGAGCCGAGTACAGGGGGACAATCACTTCCCTAGACCTGCTGGCCACACTGCTTCTTATACAAGCCAGGATGCTGTTGGCCTTCTTGGCCACCTGAGCACACTGCTGGCTTGTATTCAGCCCACTATCCACCAATACTCCCAGGTCCTTCTCTGCCAGGCAGCTTTCTAACCACTCAACCATCTTCAGACTTCCAGATCTAGAGGAACACTTTGGCTGCAGCCTGAAAGCCATGTGTACAGAAGCTCCCCCAAGCCAGCCAATCTTCTTCCCATGACCTGCCAGAAAACAGTTGTCCTGGTTTCAGCTAAGATAGAGTTAATTTTCCTTCTAGGAGCTGGTAGGGTGCTATGTTGCGGATTAGGATGAAAAGAGTGTTGATACCATGCTGATGTTTTAATTGTTGCAGAGCAGTGCTTACCCTAAGCCAAGGACTTTTCAGCTTCTTGCTCTGTCCTGCCAGTGGGCAGGCTAGGGGTGCAACAGGAGCTGGGAGGGGACAGACCCAGGACAGCTGACCCAAGCTGGCCAAAGGGTTATTTCCATACCATCTGACGTCATGCTAAATAATATATAGGGGTGGCTAGCTGGGATGGGGGGGCCGTCTGCTCGGGGATAGGCTGGGCATTGGTCAGCAGGTAGTGAGCAATTGCATTGTGCATCACTTGTTTGTACACATTAGTAGTAGCAGTATTATTATTGTTATTATTTTTTTTTTCCTGCCTTAATAAACTGTCTCTGTCTCGACCCACAGGCTTCATTTTCCTATTTCTCTCTTCCATCCCAGAGAGGGAGGGGGGAGGGGGGGCAAACAGCTGTGTGGTGATTAGCTGCCGGCCGGGGGAAACCACAACAACAGCAATGTAGTTATGTAACCAAATTAAAGCCAAAACTTTCAGCCCGGTCCTTGACCTGAATAAGGAGTGAGATCCGAATCCTGGCATTTATACGTGATAGTTTATATGCAACCAAAGTAAATACTGTAGACAGAGGTCATGGCGCTAGATTTTGAAAAGTCGTGTATAAAGAAGAGATCTCAGAAAAGCAAATTTAAATAACATTAATGTCAAGAAAAGTCATTCTGATTGCTATATTCTTTATCTGTCGTGACTAGACAGATGAAAATCTATGACAGCAATTTTGACTTTAAGGTCATTTTCTTTTTTCTTTTATTTATTTCTCTTATTTATGTTTATTTATCTTATTTTAACAGGCTCTGTACTAATTTTCCTCACTGAATGACTAACAGAAATATGACCCATGTGCACCTTTTGTAGTTAATTCATTAGGTCAACTCTAACCACTAAGCCCCTTGTCAGGTTATTTCTCTTAGTGATAAGGAGCAATTAACCTTAAAACATTGAAGCCAGGTAGATGAGCCTATTCCACAAGGTCTCTTGGCTCCACCCTTGTTAAGTGAACTCTGCCAGCTGTGGATCATATGACCTTTGCTATATAGGAAGAATGAGGAGTTGTGGGGAATTGCCTTTCTAGGGGAACTTGAGGGTCAGGTTACTTAGGGTGCTTTTCTACTGTCCTGGTGGAATGGACTTAGTGTTCTCCAGCAGGCTGTTTTTTCTTCATGTTTTCTGCTGTTTCTGTGAAATTTTTTTAGAGACTATAAGAGCTAGTTACGTTGGTGGTACCTTCTCAGTACAGTAAAACCCTGGTGGTACTACTTCACTGGGAAGTACTTTGGCAGTGACTTAAGTTCAGAAGCTGGCAGGTAAGTGTTGCTGGGTTCTGCGGTTGTTTCATGCTGGGGAGTTTGAGTGTTTCCTTCACCTTGTCTGTCTTCCATGAAGTTACTCTACATGGATTCTAAGCTTCCTTCCCAGCCCTAAAAAAAATAAAATATATAAAATAATGAAACAACCTCAGAAGCTTAAGTGCATGCAGGTAAGGCTGACTTTGAAGAATATTTATAAGTACTTGTTAACATTGAACAACAGATTGTATGGAAAAAGTGCGTTACTGTGAATTCTTACCTTGCTTTGTGGTAAGAAGAAACAGATCTGGGTAGATATCGGTGATGTTATCATTACTTTTGCAAAGTGTTAATTGTGAGAATGTGCTGTTTGTAAAAGAAAGGCTGTTCTCAAAACGCACAAGTCTAAAGACCTCAAACTACTACAAGTAGAAGTTAAAGTTTCAAGGAGATAACTTGATAGAAAGAAATTACTGTTGGCTATCTCCACCGACCCCTCCATAGATGAGCTACCTGAAGAAAAATGGTGAAAGGTGTCATTGTTAATAGTTTCTGAGGTAGGGTCAGGGGAAGATTTGTATACCCACTTGTTCATTTGCCCTTTATTCTCTTCCAGGTGAGTTATGGTAGCCTTGCAAAGCTCTGACTATGCTTGGGATGTTCAGATGAGCACGTTCTTCTCAGTATGTCTCCAGAACACACTTGAGGTTTTGTCAAAGGTTAAAGAAATCCTAAGGAGTGTCACGCACAGATATGTTGAGAGGTAGGAGAGTTATGTGTGGCAGGGAGAGGGTGAGAATATCTGGTCCCCAGAGTCCATCCAGCCCTGATCCTTATGTTTTGCACTTCCCCCAGTCTTGACTCTCTTCTTGGGGTTGCTTCCTGGGTTTGGACTACTGTCCAGACCCTCAGCCTCTTCCGCAACCTCCCTGAGAGCCTCAGATCTATTTCCCAGGGATACTGTGGGGGTAGGTGGCAGTGTGGGTATCGGAGGCAGATGTCTCTTTCTGCTCCAAGACAAGGGTCCAGCCCCTTGTCTCCTGCGGACAGTCTGGCCCTCTGTTCTGCATGCGTACAATGGGGGCAGCCTCTACCCTTTGTCGGGACATAGGAGAGGGCTGCTGAGCAACGGCAGGGGCGGGGAGACCCCTCCTATCTGTCACCCTCAGAAAAGTCCCCAGTCCTGGTCCCCCCATAGATGGGCTCACTGAAGAAAAAGTGTGAAAGGTGTCATTGTTAATAGTTTCTGAGGTAGGGTCAGGGGAAGATTTGTATAACCACTTGCTCATTCTCCCTTTCTTCTCCTCCAGGAAAGTTATGGTAGCCTTGCAAAGCTCTGACTATGCTTGGGACGTTCAGACAAACATGTTCTTCTCAGTTTGTCTCCAGAATGCACTTGAGGTTTTGTCAAATCTTAAAGAAATCCTAAGGAGTGTCATGCACAGATGTGTTGAGAGGTAGGAGAGTTATGTGTGGCAGGGAGAGGGTGAGAACATCTGGTTCCCAGAGTCCCAAGGGTGAATGGTGGAAGGCACTTTGAAATCATTGCAAGTTGTTCTTGTATTCAATTGCCACATAAATTAAGGCCATGCAAGTACCTTCTACTGTTTCCTTTCATTTGTTGTCTGCTTACTACCAAATATTACAGATTTGGAGAAATGCCTTAAAACAACATTATTTCTTAAATATTTTTTTTCCTCTCTCTAGGTCTGCCAGTAGCTGACGAAGTAGAAAAGTGTGCTTTTCTCTTTCATTCTTGTATAGAGTTAGAGGCAATGGCAATTTAATCCGTGACTGAGGGTCTGCAATGGTGCAAGTTTATCCTACTACTTCAAGTTCAGTGATGCAACCTGAGTTTACACTAATTAACTTTCAGGGATTGAACCAATTTAACACTTTTGGACTATGACAATTCTTGGAAAACATTTCCACAGGTTTATTTTCTTTTGCATTTGTTTGCTATCTCCATCTCATTCAAAACAGTCAGGACTGCTTTGCTTCTCTCTTCTCTGGAAAAGTTCTCTGCACTAGGAACCATGGTTAGAATCAGAATCCTGAGCTAAGAGTATGATGAAAAGTGTTGCACTCCAAGTTGGAAAGTGAAGAGGGAAATGTTTATGTATACATGAGAATTGTACTCAAACAGCTGATTACACCTCTTCTGACACCTCAACAGATGCTTACACCTTTTATGGGAAAACTTTAAACCTAAGAAGCAACAGGCATTTTTCTACGTTTCCCTTGGGGATAGTATGTTCTTCTGTATTTTGCTTCTATATAAGCAGTTCAAACTTTTAAAGTCCCATTGTCAGTCATACAACTAAACAACCTTGCATGGCATTACATGTTCCCCTCCAGATAGATCAAGCCCTGAATGCAAGATTAGACAAGTAAATGATGCCAACATGTAAAACTAATTTGTAAGTACTTTTTGGCGCTTTTTTAGGGACACTTTGTGGGGCTTAACTGTCCTGCAGTGAGAAGAACGTCTTCTGGTGTAAGTCTTCCTTGTAAGTCTTCCAAAGGGAAATGAAATTATCCTACCCAGATGAAGCACCATCCAGAAGACACTTGAGTTGTTAGGGCCTGAATTCTCACTGAAACCAAAGGCAGGGATCTTACTGACCTGAAGAAAGAGGCTTTAATCTCTCCTGGCTTGTTTACTCCTGAAGGAGCATGAAAGAGACGCGTGTCCTTGTATCTGAAGAGGAGGTGAAGGAACAGCTAGTGCAAGGAACACAAAAATCCATTGTGCCAGACTAATAGGTGGTTGGCTCTGAGCTTGGAGACTGCAACAGAATCACCTAGATTAGACTCTGTGATCTTGGAGGTCTCTTCCAACCTCTGATCTAACACTAACAGGTCCTCCACTAAGCCATATCACTGAGCTCTATGTCTAAATGTCTTTTAAGGACATCCAGGGATGGTGACTCAACCGCTTCCCTGGGCAGCCCATTCCCATACCTAACAACCCTTTTGGTAAAGAAGTTTTTCCTAATGTCCAACCTAAACCTCCCCTGTTGCAACTTTAGCCCGTTCCCCTTTGTCCTCTGGCCAGGCACATGGAAGAATAGACCAATCCCCACCTTGCTACAGCCTCCTTTAATGTACCTATAGAGATCAAATATATAGAGAGTATATATATTCTTTTTTTATATATGTATAGAAAGAAATATTTTGAAATTAGAAGTTGAAACTTGTAATTTGAAGATGACAAGAGAAAACAAAAATTTCAAACTTTCAGCTACATGTATGAAGGAGCATTAACCAAACTTTGTTTGAAAGCAAGCAGAGGCTGGACTAATCAAAACTGAATACACAATATTACTCCTAGTTCTCAGAGGGAACATTACACCATGACTTGGAATGATGACAAAAGACTATGTTTTGTCACTAGGATAGTTAATCTGAATTTTTAGTCCTTCCTCAAATATCAAGCTATTTTCTGATATAGATTTTAATTCTAACATTGAATGTTTGACTTTGAAAACTCAAGTTTTGTTTTCTGTAGATTTTTTCTTTTGCATGAAGCAATATATATTTACATGTGCAATAAAAATGAGAAGTACATCATATGCAGAATACCATCATGATTTGGCTATGTTATGAGGCTGTATGTATTAGGCCTTATATTATTTTAATATCTTCTGATGTTTTATTGGAGTTCTGTAAGAGAGGACTTTCTGTAAGAGAGGTTGCACTCAGTGTATTTCACAAGGTGGTTGAGGTAAAGCAAACAACTCTATCATCAGCTTCAGATCATTCTTACTACACTTTCAAAAGATGTCTATTATTTTATGTATTTTTTGACCTGATAAATAATTTTGTTGAATTCTGTTGTGCTCTTAGAATAATTATTTTGCATTTTTTCATGTAGTACTTTTTACTGACTTAAGGGATGTAGCTGAGATACTTTTAATGGTTACTGCCAGCTGTTGTGAACCATCTGAAAAAAAAAATTTTAAAAGTACATTTCAAGACATTTCAAGGTTTCTTTGAAAGAGGTTATTAACAGGGATACAGGGAAATATATAGAGGTTTGGCCATAGGGCAGTGCAAAGGCAGTAAATTCTCTCTGTGATTGCACTTGGAAAGACAATGATTCAGAAATAAATTTTGAATCTTGGCAAAGGTTTCAAATCTTCCAGATCTTTTAGTGACTTCCATTCCATACTCCACTTTCTACTACTTCTAGGGTTGCGGAAAGTAATAGTACCTTTTAAGATATGAGTCACTGAGGGAGAACAACATATATGGAATGAAGGAAAAAAAAATTACCCTTCAAAGGTACTGGAAAGGGTATCACTGAGACACTTCAAAAGAAGGCCCAAAGGGTTAAGTTTTTCACTTAATTAAGTTTAAGCTGTTCACTGCCTGAAACCTTGCAAATTTCTGATAAGAGTTGTAAAAACCAGGTGTTTGTTCTAAAACTACCCTACCATAGCAGTGAATATTTCTCAGATAAAAATTAATGAAGGGAAAACTCATAAATGTGTCAGAAGAAGATAATAATTATTTCAGATATAAGCCAGATGCTCTCCATTGCAAAACACGTTAATATTCATGAGTGGGAGTCTCAGTTTATAACAAACTTCTCCAATCATGAAAAGTAAGTCTTTGCTGATGGACTTAATTCTGGGCAGTATAAATCCAACCAAGAAAGATCCTATCCAGTTCTAAAATGTTAGATTGTGAAAATAAATAATTTATTGACAGTGTATTCATGTGAGTATGCTGATGTCTTGGCACAAGGATTCTTGAGAAGCTCCTTAAGTTTGTTCCAGGTCATGTTCCAATCCTTTGAACCAAACATACTTATCTAGGTTAAAGCCCTTCAACCATTTGTAGTTCTAGTCATTCTGGATAAACTTAATTTCCATTATGAGAGAGAAAAAGAGAGGGAGGGCGTGCGCAAGAGAGATTTCTGTCTTATTTAGAGTGTTTTTATACAAGTCCAAACAATGTACATTTGGATCCCATAAGTATGCTGGTATGTGCATCAGCAAAATTTTCAAAAATATTATGTAGTTGATTGTGACCACAGAACACACTATTTATTTATTTATTTTTACTATGGCACTGGAGACCTGCTTCATGATGAATATTTTCAGTGTCCCACACACTCTGTCTACATTAAATTTTTAAGGCTGAAGGGCACATAACATCAAAAAGAAAACATAGGGCTGTATGAATGTTAAGATGGTTCCCCATTCTCTCAGTTTCCTTAACTGATAAGAAGCTTGCATTGAACATTTTTATTTTATTTATTTTTTTATTTTATTTATTTTATTATTTTTTATTATTTTATTATTTATTTTATTTTTTTATTATTTTATTTCTGTCAGCAGAAGGATGGCTAATGAATATTAAAACAGAAGTTCACGAATAACTGAAGATTTCTGAAGGAAATCTAAACCTAAGCTATATTGCACCCCCCTACTGTATGACCATGTGCTGAGAATGTAATTGTGTGCCTTTCAAAATTTGCCTTTGTGGTTTGTTGACTATAAGAGCTTTATTACTGCAATGGCATGTGTCATGGTTTAACCTGGCCAGCAGCTAAACACCACGCAGCTGTTCCCTCACCCTCCCCCCTCCCTCTCTGGGATGGGGGAGAGAAATGGGAAAGTGAAGCCTGTGAGTTGAGGTAAAGACAGTTTATTAAGACAGGAAAATAATAATAACAATAATAATGGTAATAGTACTACTACTAATAATGTGTACAAACAAGTGATGCACAATGCAATTGCTCGCTACCTGCTGACCGATGCCCAGCCTAACCCCGAGCAGTCTGGCCAACCGGAACCCTTTTGGGTCCTTGAAATATCCTCTTCTAAGATAGTCTACGCCAAGGATACACAGAGCATCCGGGCCAGTCACAATACAGTGCTTTTGCCACTCATTCCCAGTCAGACTCACTTCAGCCTCCAATACAGTTAACTGCTGAGATCCCACTGTCACTCCATAAATACAGATGGGCTCTGGCCCTTTATAGCTTGATGGCATTAGAGTACATTGTGCACCAGTGTCTACTAAAGCCTTATACTTCTGTGCATCTGACGTGCCAGGCCATCGAATCCACACAGTCCAATAAACTCGATTATCCCTCTCCTCCCCCTGGCTGGAGGCAGGGCCCCCCTAATGCTGGTCAGAATCTTCTTCGTTTTTGTGTTTGAAAGACTGTCTGATGGAAGTTGGAGCAGCAAACTTTTCAGAGAATGCCTTTTTCCCAATTGTTTTCTTTTGCAACTCACGTACCCATGCCTCTAGGGTCACGGTAGATTTTCCATCCCATTTTTTCATGTCCTCTCCATGGTTTCATATGTAAAACCACAGGGTGGCATAGGGTGTGTACCCACCATATCATCTTCCTTGTGCGGATGAACGCTTACCCCTGATAGTTGAGACACTGGTTTGTACAGGTGGGGAGGAAAATAATCTCTCTTCAAGTTGGTAAACCTTTTCAGAAAGTTTCTCCCAAGTGTCCTCTTTTAGTTGGTGGTCACTGGTTTGTTCAGGTGGGGAGGAAGATAGATTCTCTTTAAGTTGATGGAACTCTTTAGAAAGTTTCTCCACAGCTGAGACACAGGCCTGTAAGGAAGAGGAGAGACTTTCTTCGTACTGCCAAAGTTGTTTAGCCACTTCATCCACTGTGGGTTCCTCATCATCTTTCCAGGCCATTATTGCCAATGAGTTGGCATATGATGATGGTGCACTCCGTACAAACTTCCGCCACATGGGTTGTATACACCTGACTTCATCTGGATCTGTGGATTGTCTGAGGTCTGGGTCCTCATAAATCAACTCGTGTATGGCTAATTCCCTCAGGTACTGGATTCCCTTCTCCATAGTGGTCCACTTGCCTGGTAGACATCCAAGTTCTTCCTTGAAGGGATACCTTTCCCTCACAGCTGAGAGGAGACGCCTCCAGAGGTTGTGAGATTGTGCTCCATCTGCAATTGCTTTGTCAATGCCTGCGTCTCTAGCAAGGGAGCCCTGCCACCTGGCTTCCCTGCCCTCTAATTCCACACAATTGGCTCCAGTATCCCAGCACTGGAGCAGCCAGGTGACAAGCTGCTCACCAATGCAACGACCAAAATCTTTTTGCACATCCCGTAGCTCATGCTGGTATAGGTTTCGGGTAGTTACTGTTGATTTTTCAGCATCCTCGTCTTCCTCCTCCTGAATCCCTGATGGCCCAGCATCATTGTCTCTATACCTAGACTTGGCAGAAGACTCTGCATTCTAAACGACCTGAATCTCTATACCATTTTATCACCTTCTCTACAGGGGCAACTTGCACTGCTACTGCTCGTTTCTCTGACCCAGCTACAGGAGCTGGAGTGGCTGCAGGAACTGGACTTGGAGCAGCTGCAGGAGCTGGAACTGGAGCAACTACAGGAGCTGGAGCTGGAGTGGCTGCAGGAGCTGGAGCTGGAGTGGCTGCAGGAGCTGGAGCTGGAGCGGCTGCAGGAGATGGAACTGGAGCAGCTGCAGGGTCCATCGTAGGGGTCGGAGTGACCGTTGGATCTGTCACAGGACTTGGAGTGGCCGCAGGGTCTGGCACTAAGTTGATAGTAGTATCAATTGCAGCTTGATAGCCATGAGCCAGACCCCAGCATGTTACAATGATTTGTGTCACTTTGGAACTGCCAGAGTCATGACACCTTTTTTTCAAGTATTCTACCAGTTTTTTAGGATTTTGCAGTTGTTCAGGGGTGAATTTCCAAAACACTGGAGGTGCCCACTGCTCTAGAAACCTGCCCATATCTTCCCATACCCCCTCCACTCACAACTATCCTGCCTCAAGACAGACCTCTGGATGAGATTCCTAAGTAGTTCTTTAAACAAAACCTGAAGCACATTCAGGAGACATAACAAGACCATGCTGGTCTGAGTATCCCAAGGATACTCAGTATCTTGGAGAATTATTGTAACAAGCTCTGAGGATAAGAGGGTGGTAAAGGAGAAAGGGAGAGTGATCAAGGAGGATAAGGGGGTGGTGAAGGAGAAAGGGAGAGTGAATGAGTAAGAAAAAATATCTTCCCCTTTCCCCTCCACAGACTGGCTCCCTGATGAAAAAAGGCAATAGGTGTAATTGCTAATAGTTTCCGAGATATGTTTTCCAAAGTATAGAGTCGACAACATTGCTAAGTACAAATACCAAGTTAGAGTCACGACCAGATATTTCATTGTCTCATAAGCCACTGTTACAACACACAGTACCATAATGATCTTAAACCAGGGCCCGGAGAGAATAAACAACATGACAGAGAGCACATACAGAAAATAACGTGCTATAATACTCAATTTGGAAAACAGGCGCAGCAGACTTGAGATTAAAGCAATCAGCAATATGACGAGCAACTATTAAGCAGGTCTAATACTTATACCAATTTTAGTTTAACACACTCTGGTCAGATCTGCCGTTACCTCAACCCTTCGAGCCCCACGCTGGGCGCCAGAAGGACTGTTGTGGTTTAACCCAGGCAGCAGCTAAACACCACACAGCTGTTCGCTCACCCTCCCCTCTCCCTCTCTGGGATGGGGGAGAGAAATGGGAAGGTGAAGCCCTTGAGTTGAGGTAAAGACAGTTTATTAAGACAGAAAAGTAATAACAACAACAACAACAACAACAATAATAATAATAATAATAACAATAATGATGATAATAGTACTACTAATAATAATGTGTACAAAAAGTGATGCACAATGCAATTGCTTGCTACCCACTGACCAATGCCCTGCCTAACCCCGAGCAGTCCAGCCCCCCTCCCCCAGCTAGCCACCCCTATATATTGTTTAGCATGACGTCAGATGGTATGGAATACCCCTTTGGCTAGTTTGGGTCAGCTGTCCTGGGTCTGTCCCCTCCCAGCTCCTGCTGCACCCTCAGCCTGCCCATTGTTAGGACAGAGCAAGAAGCTGAGACGTCCTTGGCTTGGTGTAAGCACTGCTCTGCAACAATTAAAACATCAGCGTGTTATCAGCACATCCTAAGCCAAAACATAGCATTCTACCAGCTACTGGGAAGAAAATTAACTCTGTCCTAGCTGAAACCAGGACAGCATGTCACAGAATGCATTTGTATCACTTCTTCGTATTTTCCAATATAAAGAATTAGCAACACCGATAACTTTTCATG